CCTTGTTTTAACTTCAAAGAATTAAAAGGCAACATTTTGTTTGTGGGAAGAGGTAGGGGTATACCTGGCATTCTGGATTAGTAATTTTTCTTATCTGTTTACCTTTATAAATAATTTTGCTTTTGGTCCAGTCTTGCCAGACGAGGAAAGACACTTTGAGCTTTTAGAGGACAAGAAACTCCTTTCCCTTTTTAGCAACTTCTCTTGTTTATATCAATACCTCATTCCTATATTTCACTCCTTTCCTGCCACTCTTTCCATTCTCAGCTGTCATTACCATTTTTTTAGCAATAAATAAGGAATGAAAGGCAAAACAAAATAGCCCGCCACGGTTGCTGACAATAATAAGTCTGTGGGAAACTTTTTTAGAAACCTCAGAGAAGAGACTCTAGTGGTGTCTCAGCCCACAGGTTTCAGCTGCACTGGAACAATGACTCTTCTGCCTACCTCCAAAGGACAAGATGAGACATGGGGCTTGTTTTTTCTTTCTCTTCCAAGCTTCAAACTTGAGCAAACAATCTTTACTTAACCCATATGGAAAACTTGCAAACACAAACACATTCCTCTTTTCCTATTAGTGTTGGGATGAAAAGCAGATTTCAAATTAGTTAATGTTCATGTAGTTAAGTGGTTCCCTATTGACTGGGAATACGTAGGTGGAGGAGTGGATTTGGAGGGGGGCTTTTGCTGTCAGGCCAACAGCAGAATGAAAGCCAAAATCACTCAAATTGCAAGAGAAACTTTAGGGGGAAAAAAAGCACAAAGAAACCATGCAGGTAGTACAGAGCCTTGCCTATGTTATATGTTGGAGTTCCCACTCCATATGGTATATTTGGGTGGCACTGTGAAAAATGGAGACAGACTTCTGAGGAGGGACCATTGTGTTCCTTGTCATGGTCCATGAATATTTATGGAACAGCCCTTTATAGAGGTGCTTGGCGCCACCACACAGTTTTATTGTTTGGCAGATTGAAAACTAGTTCCATGCTCACCCTTGGTCCTCTGAAAAGAATGTCTGGGCTTCCAAAAACGTGGTGGCCACATCATTCCTGTTGGAAGACATGACCCCTTTTTTCCATCATGAGAATGTCTATGCATGCAATTTGGGAAGCAAACCAATTAGGAACTGAACAGTCCTTACATCAAGAATCTTGGGAAGTATCAGCTGGTTTAGCAATTTCATCCTCATACCTGTAGTGAAGTATTTGAGGAAAATTCAGGATGACACTATCCTGGTGAATAAGAGAAACAAACAAACAAACAAAAAAAATCAAATACTTTGAACAAGTTCAAAATTGGTTTAGAGGTCATAAATTGGAGGAAGCTTTGATTTAGAGCAATATCCAGCAGTCAAGAGAGTTTGATTTAATCCCAGATGGGCTCCTTCTCTAATAAATCACCACATTCACCCTGAAATATCACTGTTATGTCATAGATGTCAGAGTGGTTTTAACTATGGGCCCATAGTGTCCATGGATGGACATCAGGAAGGTACATAACTGGGTATTTTGTCTTTAGAGAAAGAGGAAGAGTGAGCAAGTGGGGTGGGGGAATAGAGGGGAGAGGCAGAGGGAGATGGAAAGTGAATCTTAAGCAGGATCTACTCCAAGCCCAGTGCAGAGCCTGTAGCAGGACTCAATCTCACAACCCTAGGATCACAGCCTGAGCTGAAATCAAGAGCTGGTCACTTAACTAACTGAAACACCCAGTCACCCCATAACTGGGTATTTAAACTTGCTAAAATTCTAGGCAAATTTCATGTATGTGTCTGTGTTCATGTGTGAGTACTTTGTGTTCGTGTGTGTATGTGTGTTTGTACTTTTCTCAGAAGATTTATTGCTTTCAACAGATTTCAAAGGGATTTGTCAGACTTAAGAGTTAACAATGAAAGTTAGAGTGTTGAAGTAGAAAAAGACTTCAGAAATACCTGGCCCTGAGCATTTCAATGTGCTTTGCTGTGCTCAAATTTTCATGTTCATGAGATTTACCTGAGATGCTTGTTTAAATATTGCTGAGCCCTACTTCTAACCAGACAGGCTAATTCAGTAGATTGTAGAGGTGGGGCCCAGAGTTCTGCTTCTTCTTCCTTTTTTTTTTTTTTTTTGGTCTAAAAAAAATTATTGGAGTTTTTTTTGTTTGCTTATTTTTAATTTATTTATTAATTGCAGTATAATTGGCACACAATGTTACAGTATTTTCAGGTGTACAACAGAGTGATTCTACAAATTTGTACATTATGCTATGTTCACCACAAGTGTAGCTAGCATCTGTCATTATACAACACTATTACAATACTCTTGTAGAGTTCTGTTTTTTAAAAATACTAATTCCAGCATAGTGAACATACAGTGTTATATTAGTTTTAGGTGTACAATAGAGTGATTCTGCACTTCCATATATTACTCAGTGTTCATGGAGTTAACTGTAGGCTTCATCCTCTTCACCTATTTCATCCATTGTCCCACCCACCTCCTCCCTGTAGAGTTCTGCTTTTTAATAATTTCAGGGATCATGAGCTGAATGCATGGGCCAAAGATCATACTCTGAATGCCAGGTGAATTTAAAAGATATAGGGAAGCGTAATGGTCAGGTGCATAGGATTGGTAGAAGTCACATTCCTTCAAGCCAAAGCAGCTCTTTTTCTGCTTGGCATATTGAACTTCCGTGTAAGATTTCATTTGAATGAAGACTGAAAAACAGCATGGAAGTCACCGACAAAATGCAACACCCTCATATTGCAGAAGAGGAAACAGACTCAGAGAGATAAAGTGGTAATGCCAAAGTCACAATAGCCAAAGTCACAGTGGCAGGATTAAAACCAGAACCTAAACTCCCCGATTCCTTGTCTAGGCCTTTCCATCATGGCTGATTCTCTTAAAAGTCACAAATTGGAGTTAAACACCGAAGGGTTTTTAGCCTATTATCTGGAAAGGGAAATAGGAAGCATTTAAGCTTTCTCATCCAACCAGATAAGGAAGCCTTCTGGCCTTGGAATGTTTAAAGTAGGAGAGAATTGAGTGATCAGTAGGCCTGAGTGAAGGCTGGGGAGAGTAGGAGGGTGATAGTAGTTATAAAGGCACCTGGAGCCCACATGACTAAAAATGGCTTCATTTTGTCTACGCCAGACTTGCCATCCAAGAGACATTGCCTTCACAATGGTCCCAAGAAAATAATTTAGTGGTAGGCCACCCTGTGAGTTCTTTTATTCATCTGTAGAGATGAGCGTTTTCTTTGGTTTGAGCATTATCTGGTAATGAATGGCTTCAAGGTGATTCTTCAAACTTGACTTTAGAATTTCCAACATGGTATAAAATTTCAATTCAGTTTATTATTGGGGAGGAGTAACACTTAGCATTCTTCATGGAGTTTAGAATTGTATTCATTTAGGAAGGTGAACTTCAAAAGTTTTCAAAGCTTAGTCAAGGTACATTTGGGTGGTAATATCAATTAACCAGGCTAACAGGAGCTGTAAAACCAGTCTGAAAACGTTTTCCAACCTCGCTCATGATTTCTGAAGCTGCCGCCTCTGACTTATAAAAACAGTTTCTTTTCTTTGTTCTCAGTTTCCATTTTGGGTTCTGGCCAGTACTGAGAACTAGGAATTTCAAAGCTGGTTTACAAAACTATCAAAAAACTTAAAAAAAAAAATGTCAGATATTATTAACATGGAACATGCAGTGAAGTGCTATTTATCCAGGATGCAAATAATCAACCTCGTAAAATAAAACCAGAATTATATTTTATACACTTTGTGAAATAACTATTGACATTCAGAATCCTGACCTGAGCCCCTGCAGATTCTTGACTTACCTAACTCATCAAAGGAAGATTCCACTGAAATCAGTCACTGTTCAGTGCCAAGTACATCTTACCATATTTTATTGTATCATGGAGGTCTCAACATGGAGATCTTAGCATAGACATGTCCAGCTAATTCTGACAAGTCAATGCCTGTCCCCAAGCCTGGGGGCATGGACCCACTGGTGCTCTAGTTGGGAAAAAAGAAGGCCCAAATAACACTGTACCAGATGCAAAAGAATTTCCACCCTGATGGGAGAGAGTTGGGGGTACAGGTTTGTGAGGTAGATAAGTATATTAAAGAAGACTGTTGGCTTTATCTTGAAGCAGCCATATGAAGTAGTCCCTTCTGGAGCAGTGCCAGAGGTTTATGAAGATAGGGCAATGTGCTGGGTATCTGATGTTTGTGGACCCTCCAGATTGACTCTCTATCCTTTTCCATCCTTCTCTGAATGCCAGAGAGGATCTTGGGCTCTCTTGACCTCTGGTTTCTGGTTGGGTTTGGTTGGACCATTAGCAGAAGACATAGAGTAAAATGAGGTCATTACTCTGATATTGTCACTCCAGTTTCCTTAAAATCCTCAGACTTGGTGTTTCTCTCAAGTGAAAGTCACAGCTCTGTTGGTTGTCCTCCACCCACATCTCTGTCTTCCCAGGTTCATACGTGGCAGTCCCATCTTGTCTCTTCAAGCCTGGGGTTGGCGATGGTGATCCTCTGTCAGTTACTTTGGGATAGTGCACTACCCCATGTGGTTTTTCTGTATGTTCTATATTTTCCACAACTTGGGCAAGAATCCTTTTTTTTTTTTTACGATTTATTTATTTATTTTAGAAAGAGAGAAAGAGCATGAGTGGGAGGGGCAGAGGGAGAGGGAAAGAATCTCAAGCAGGCTTTACACTGAGCACCGAGCAATCAAGAATCTTTTTATTAAACGTGCTTATTTTTCCCAGTTTGAGGGGTGCCTGGGTGGCTTAGTCATTAAGTGTCTGCCTTCAGCTTGGATCATGATCCCTGGTCCTGGGATCTAGCCTACATGGGGTTCCCTACTCAGCCAGAAGCCTGCTTCTCCTTCTCCTACTCCCCATGCTTGTATTCCCCTTCTCTCTTTCTCTCTCTCTCTCTCTCTGTGTGTGTGTGTGTGTCTCTCTCTCTCTGTCCAATAAATAAATAAATAAAATCCTTAATATTTTTTTTTTCCCAGTTTGGGTGTATCATCTGTTTCCTGATGGGATCCTGACTGACAGGTATGTAATAATGAGTCAGTAAAATGAACTTGTATCATTAATATTTTGATAAGCTACTGAGAGCATGCAAGTTAAAGAAGCTCTGGGTCTTAATATACACAGGGATATCTGGGGATGTGTAGGGTTTGGAATTAATATTAACACATAACACATAATTTCTCTGAATCTAGCCATCTCAGGTTACTGTCATTATCTAGTTCTAGTCTTTTTAGATAAACCAGTTTGTTCAAATAAAGTCACCCTAGTGATAGATTTCAGATCCTTCAGACAAAAGGAGTTTTCAGAACTCATTTATACCATCTTCCACTTGCCTACTTCACTCAGATCCCAATTTTTCAGATTCCTTAGCTTCCTCAATTTCTTATTTGCCATTACAGTGCAGTTTTTTAAAAATTTAATGTTATTTTTTCAGTGTTCCAAGACTCAGTGTTTATGTCACACACCCAGTGTTCCATGCAATACATGCCCTCCTTAATACCTACTACCACGCTCACCCATCTCCTCACCCCCTCCCCTCTAAAACCCTCAATTTGTGTCTCAGAGTCCACAGTCTCTCATGGTTCATCTCCCCCTCTGATTTCCCCCATTTCACTTTTCCTTTCCTTCTCCTAATGTCCAACATGTTATTCCTTATACTCCACAAGTAAGTGAAACCATATGCTAATTGACTTTCTCTGCTTGACTTATTTCACTCAGCATAATCTCCTCCAGTCCCATCTATGCTGATACAAAAGTTGGGTATTCATCCTTTTTGATGACTGAGTTTTGATGGCCTACACCAACGTGCATTCCTACCAACAGTGTAAGAGGGTTCCCCTTTCTCCACATCCTCTTCAACATTTGTTGTTTCCTGTCTTGTTAATCTTTGCCATTCTGACTAGTGTAAGGTGGTATCTCAATATGGTTTTGATTTGAATTTCCCTGATGGCTAATGATGATGAACATCAAAATCCTGGAGGACATAGGCAGTAACCTCTTTGACTGCTACTGTGCAGTTCTTATTACTAGTTTATCTTTTGATTAAAGACTATTTGGACTGATGTCCTGACTTTGACCTTGGCACCTTTCTAGGACACAATAACAGCTATTAATTGTTCATGTTTTTTGAACTCTTTTTGAACTCTTGCTATGGTCAGATATTTTGATAAATGCTTTATATGCTTGATCTCATTTAATTCACACCAACATTATAATGTGGTTATTATTATTATCCCCATTTTATAGATGAGGAAGCTAAGACTTGAATGGTCATAGGACTCATAAGTGGCAGAGCTAGAGGTTAAACTCAGGTCAGCTCATGCTGGTAAACTGTGTGGTATTTACCACTTGACTTTCCACAGTGTTACAACAGGAGGAAAAAAGTGCAAGCCCTATATTTTTAACTGGCTAAATTTTTCTCTAAGGAGATACCCTCAAAGACTTCTACACAACCACAACATACTGAAAGTAATCAGAAATGTGGGAATGTAGATAAAGGTGATATTTGGGGGGATCACATCAGGATTTTCCTTGCTTTAGCCATATAAGAGAAATGGTTTGTGATGAACCCTTATATTTTAGCAGATAAGTATTGAGACATTCATGTATTCATTCATTTCTTTAATTAACATACTTAAAAAATCTTTTATTATGGGCTGAATACAAAGGATAAAAAGATGGAAATGATACAGCATTTGCCCTTAAGGGGCTTAAAACCAAGTGAAATAAATAAATATGGGAATATATAAGTGAAATCTAATTCCTACAGATTTAAAGACCTCTTTTTACTTCATACATGAATACAACTCCATGCAAACTCTTTGAAAGTAGGTATTCATGTATATATAGGGGTGATCCCATTACCTAGAATGAAGTCTGGAATCAATATACGTACATGAACAGTGTATTGGGCTCTCCAGAAAAATACAACGTATATCTATATCTACTCTATATCTGTATATTTATTCTATATATCTATATCTAAATCTGTATCTGAGGAAGATTTATCTTAAGTAATCGGCTCCCATGATTATGGACACTGGTCAGTCCAAAATATGTAGGCTGTGCTGGCAGGCTGAAGACCCAAAAAGCCAAGGAGTTCAAGTCTTAAGGCTATCTGTTGCAGAATTGCCTCTTGCTCAGGAGTAATCAGTCTTTAGTTTTTTGTTTTTTAATTTTTATTTATTTATTTATTTTTAATTTCTTTTCAGTGTTCCAGAATTCATTGTTTATGCACCACACCCAGTGTTCCATCCAATACGTGCCCTCCATAATACCCACCACCAGGCTCACCCAACCTCCTACCTCCCTCCCCTCCAAAACCCTCAGTTTGTTTCTCAGAGTCTGCAGTCTCTCATAGTTCATCTCTCCCTCCAGGTCTCTGCCTGATTAGATGAATCCTACCCACATTATGGAGAGCATTCTGCCCACCATAAAGTCCATCAATTTAAATGCTAATGTCATTCAAAAACACCATCATGTTCCACACATGAGTGAAACCATATGATAATTGTCTTTCTCTGCTTGACTTATCTCACTTAGCATAATTCCCTCCAGTTCCAACCATGTCTATGAAAATGGTGGAAGAGAAAACTGAACAAGAAGAAATCAGAGAGGGAGACAAACCATGAGAGACTCTGGACTCTAGGAACCAAACCGAGGGTTACAGAAGGAAGTAGCGTGGGGGGACAGAGTAATCAGGTGATGTGTATTAAGGAGGGCAAGTGTTGTAATGAGCACTGGATGTTATATGCAACTAATGAATCACTGAGCACTACATAAAAAAAAACTAATGATGTATACTATGTGCTGGCTAACTGAACATAAAAAAGGCACAAAAAACACCATCATGGAACTATCCAGAATCATGTGTGATCACATATCTAGGCACTGTGACCCAGCCAAGTTGATACATAAAATTAACTATCACAATTAGGCAGAAGATGCCTCAGGAACCAATACAATTGGTAAGAGCCAGATTCTGAAGACTACATAACCCCTTTTCTCCTCACCATAGTGAGGAGAGTGGAACCAGCTTAAGTACTCCAATAAGCAGGGTAAGCATGAGATAATGAATTCAGGAGAGAAAGCTCTAAGCTACTGCACTGAATTCTAATTTTTGCTTGCTGGCATCCCCATCCTCACCCTCCATCGTTAGGATATTCCTCTGTTCTGCTAGGTCAGCCAGTCATTATCTCTTGTTGACCAATGCCTGGATCTGTGTCTGGCAGAATAATCTGCTATTATAAAGATTTAGTAGGCCATATCCAAATCAAGGGTCATATATATCATTAATTCATTCATCCATTTATTAATTCATTTATTCATCCATTTAGTAAGTCTTTATTAAGAATGTACTAAATGCCAAAAATTCTTCTAGATGTTGGGAATTGAGCAAGCTTCAAACAAGATAGTTATAATTCTGATCTTTGTGGAGCATATTGCCCTTGAGGTCAGGTGGATAATAAACCAATGGTTGCTCAGATAATTACTTTATAGTAGATTTAATAAATAGCATGAAGGAAAAAATACAGGGTACAATGACAGGACAAGTAAAAGTAGGAGACACTAAAAGCTGATAATAAAACCCATTTTTCCCCAAACTAGTCCATAAAATCCCATTTATATAATGCTCCATAATCTTTTTTCCTTATGGCTTGGAACACATGAGTATGGTGACTCTTGAAGCTATATGTTGAAAATGGCAGAACCACACACTGAAAACAGTTTGGGTTTCTGAAACACCACACAGAAGGCCACCCATCAAATGCCATAATCATACTGCTACATGTAATAAATGAATTTATATTGGGCTTAGCCATAATAATGTTGGTATTTGTTTATTCTGAAGCTAGAATTATGGTGACTAATATTGAAACTAATTCTGAATCTTGAAACACGGTGTTATCTATGACAAATATTTAACATAGGTGATGTTAACCTCTCAGTAATGTGTTAGAAAGTCAGAAAACTCTGAGAGGCTGGAAAAATGGAGTCCCATGCTATAAATTTGAGCAAAAAATTGGCAAAGATATTGCTTCTGATAATTTGAAGGCAGAAGATGGACCTAATGAGCCTGTAGTTTCAGTTCTTGATCATGGGTGATTTTGCACACCATGGGACATTTGGTATTGTCTAGAGACATTTTTGTTACAACTGGAGATGAGGTTGATGTTACTGGCTTGTAATGGGTAGAGGCCAAGGGATGTTGCTAACTAATAGTGTATAGGATAGATCACTGCAATAACATGATTATCTTTTGTAAAATGTCAATGATGCTAAAGCTGAGAAACTCTGTTCTAGGGTATGTAGTTGGAAAGATTCAGAATGATCATGTAAATTGGCTTTCACTTCCATCTTTTGCCAAGATGTTACTAGAAAAAAAAAGATAAATCCAGATTTAAAAACTGCAGTTTTCAGAAAGTAAGGAAATCCTGAAAATCTCAAATTTTGGATCCTCTAAAAAAATCTTGCCTTTAGAGACAGACCCCAAACCATAACAGATGAGATCTGAAGGGGTTTTGAATGATAGTGGCTAATTTACACAGAGCCTTGGAGAAGAGATCAGATTAAAGGTATGTGACCTTCTCACCAAGTCTTTGATTTCGGGTGGCCTCAAGATATCGGCTATTAATTTCAGACAGATTGCCTGAGAACTTGGAAGCAAAAACCTAAATCAGTCTTGAGAATTTCACCTAGGTAAAAACTTTGGACATGTTTACTGGAACATGAAACTGATTGGAACTAGATTAGAAGCCAACCAAGTATTTGAGGAAAAGATATTGTGAAAGAAATGTTCTTTGGTAAAGCAGTTAGTATTATTTTAATGAATAGTTACTTATTAATTATAAGGGGCTCAAGAGTCTTTCTGGAAATAGGATTTAAACAAGTCCTCAAAGATAAAAGAGAACAATCAACAAGTCAAAATTGTAGAACAATTATAGAACAATTGTATACTCCCTGAGCCCAGGAACTGAATGAGAGCCAGAGTAATTGAGATACAGTAAATTAAAGGGGGCATG